ATGGTTGTTGATCAAGGTGTAATTATTGTAGAACAAAATATTGACTGGTTTTCTCGGCCACCATCAACACTTCTCAATAATTTTTTTGAAATCCATCCAATTCAAACTACCAGGGATCCTATTATTGTGAAATCTTTTGTACGGAAAAATGGAACGAATCGTAAATGGTTATCTTACTCTGAAGGCAACGATGCATTATATTGTTCAATATGTTTAGCATTTTTACCAACTGTTGTAATGAGTTCTTTTGTTTGTGGAATGGCAAATAGAAGACACATTCATCAAAGAGTTGATGAACATGAAAAACCAGCATCGCATAACGAATGCACAGAAAACTATTTCCAACATGTATCTAGATCCAACGTCTCAAATTTACTGTTTTCTACTCAAATTTCTGTACATCGAGAGCAAGTTCAAAAGCAACGTCTTGTGCTCCTGCGGGTGATAGAAATTATTAAAGTAATTGGAAAACGTGGTCATAGTTACAGGGGACATGAGTTTGAAGCTGCTTATACATTGTCAGATAATTCAATTGATCGTGGAAATTTCTTAGAAATGGTGTTACTTACCGATAGGTTTTATCGCGCATTAGATAAAGGTGGAGAGGTTAAGGCCATTACTCTTGACATTTCTAAAGCGTTTGATATAGTTTGGCATGCTGGTCTCCTCCATAAGCTTTCTTCTTATGGTGTATCTGGAAACATCTTTAAGATTATTGAATTTTTCCTTTCCAATCGTAGTATAAAAGTTGTCCTTGATGGACAGCACTCTTCTTCTTATTCTGTAACCTCAGGGGTTCCCCAAGGTTCAATCCTTGGCCCTATACTCTTTTTAATTTACATTAACGATCTTCCAGATATTCTCACATCTAAGGTGGCATTGTTCGCTGATGATACTACCATTTATTCTTGTCACGATAAGAAGCCAACTCCCTCTGATTGCTTGCAGGAGGCATCTGAGCTCAAAAAGGATCTCACTTCTGCTACAGCATGGGGCTCGCAGTGGCTGGTGAACTTTAATTCAGATAAAACTCAATTTTTTTCGGCCAATCGTTATCGCAATAATTTAGACCTTCCTATATTTATGAACGGTAATGTACTCGATGAGTCATCTACCCTTCATCTTCTAGGATTAACTCTTACTTCTGATCTTTCTTGGAAACCTTATATCAAATCCATTGCAAAATTAGCATCTGCTAAAGTTGCTTCTCTTTATCGAGCTCGTCACTTTCTTACTCTTGATTCTATTCTCTATCTCTATAAATCTCAAATCCGGCCTTGTATGGAATACTGTTGCCATATCTGGGGCGGATCTTCTAATGATGCCCTTTCTCTTTTAGACAAGGTGCAAAAACGCATTGTAAACATAGTTGGATCTGCTCTTGCAGCCAACCTTCAACCTCTTTCACATCGTTGTAATGTTGCTTCTCTTTCTCTTTTCTACAAATACTATAATGGGCACTACTCTAAAGAGCTAGCGTCTCTTGTGCCATCTACTAAAATTCATTCTCGTGTTACTCGTCATTCAATTACGTCTCATCCTTTTTCTGTTACTGTTCCTAAGTGCTCCAAAAACTCTTATTCGTCTAGCTTTTTTCCTCGAACATCAGTTCTTTGGAATTTGCTTCCTTCATCTTGCTTTCCTGATTCATATAATTTGCAATATTTTAAGTCGTCAGTCAATCGTTATCTTGCTCTACAATCTTCATCTTTTTTCTTCCAGTAACTTTCAACACTAATTAGTGGTTGCTTGCAACCTTGTTGGAAGCAAAGATAATTAAAAAAAAAAAAAACTTGTCAGTAAATATGATACTTGTTTAAAGGAACATTTAAATAGTTGCATTGAACAGAGTGAAAAACGGAAGAACGCTGGAAGTACTGGAAGAGGTTCCATGGTTACTTTTCTTTCAAAAACCACAATAACAAAACTCATTCAAATTACGAGTCGTTCCATACAGCAAATCATTGCAAAAGAAATTAACTCAGCTTGTATGTTTTCAGTTCAAATTGATACAACAGAAGATATAACAAATAAAAATCAATGCTCAATAGTTGTGAGGTATGTAACTGATCAGATTCACGAAAGATTATTAACTATGATTGCGTGCGACTCTTCAACTGGCGAGTATCTGTGGAGTTTAGTATCTGAAACTTTAAAGACATTGAACATTGATATTTTAAAGTGTGTTGGTAATTCAACAGATGGAGCTGCTAACATGAATGGTGAGTATAACGGTTTCGCAGCATGGATGTTCAAAGAAAATCCAAACCAAATACATGTATGGTGTTATGCTCATGTTTTAAATTTGGTTATTTCAGATACTTGTAATGTCGTTTTATCCAGTATTTCCTTGTTTAATTTGTTGAATGACGTAGCAGTGTTTATTCGTGGATCATATAAAAGAATGAATATTTTTGAAACAGAAAATCAGAATGATATACACAATCGCAGAATTTCAACTATTGGTGAAACACGTTGGTGGTCAAAGGATGCAGCGTTAACAAAAATATTTGGTACCTTTGCCAATCTGCATTCTAGTTTCTACGTTGAACTTGTAGTTGCATTGTCTCATATTGAAGACAATTTAAGTTTCAAATCTGAAGTTCCAGTAAAAGCAAAAGGCTTCAAAGAAGGACTCCTTAAGTATGACACAATTTTAACTGCACAAATTTTTTTACGGGTTTTTCAGTTGACGACACCGCTCTCAAAATATTTACAAACAGTAAATATGGACATTTTGGTTGCATACAACATGGTTCCAAAAACGATAGACACATTGAAAAAGTATTTAGAGGAATTTGATATAGTATTGAAAGCTACTAATAATTTTGTCTGTAAAGTTAATGAAAAACTTGAACAACATGAATTAGAAGCAGAGAATACTCTACCAGAAAAAAGAATTCGAAAGAAAAAAGTATTATCAGGCGAAACTCGTCCAAGTGAATTTGAAATTCATTCTGATGTACTTAACTCTTATAAAGTTAAAGTTCATGATGTAATATTTAAAAGAATAATAGAAAGCATGAGCAAACGTTTTAAAAAAAGTCAAGAACTTTATGCTGATTTTGCTATTCTAAGTCCTTCAAATTTTGAACAGTTGAAAGCTCATAGTGTACCAACATCTGCTTTAAATAAATTGAGTGAATATCTATTGCCGTTTGATGAAGAAGCTACAGCAAAAAATTTACGTACTGAGCTTACTAGTTTTGCTTCAAACTGGAATAATATCAAAGAGTCACTTTTGAGTACATATGACATAATGGATATAAACAAAGAAAGTGTTGAGGAACTTGAATATAATTGTCGAAATTCATGTACTGCCTGTGAAAACTGCACAGTTTGTTGCTACCTTATTTTGATTCAATATAATTTAATAAGTGAAGCATACGCAAATATTGGGTTAGCTTATAAATATACTTTGTCACTTCCATTTACGCAAGTTGCATGTGAAAGAAGTTTTTCAATTTTAAAGTTCATCAAAAATCGTTTGCGTAGTAGTATGGCTCAAGAAAATTTACAATCATTCATGCTCATGAAAAAAGGAAATTCTAAGCAATCTTAATCCCGAAACAATAATTGACGAGCTGAAACAAGTGATCTGTTTAAAAATCTTTTAGTTGTTTGAAAATTCTTAATTAGTTGAATATTTAAAATAAACATATTTGTTCTTAAAAAATTTGTTTAAAAATTTTTTTAATTAAATTATTAAAAAAATAGTTAATTAATTTTCCTCTAATGTGGGCCGGTCCAATATGAAATGCCCGGGCCGATTTTTAGTCCCAGTCCGCCACTGATATATATATATATATATATATATATATATATATATATATATATATATATATATATATATATATATATATATATATATATATATATATATATATATATATATATATATATATATATATATATATATATATATATATATATATATACATACATATATATATATATATATATATATATATATATATATATATATATATATATATATATATATATATATATATATATATATATATATATATATATGCATATATATTTATATATCTATATATAAAGTTTAGCGTAAATTTAATTCCAAATAATATCGTTTTGCCAACTTTGAATCAACGTAAATACAACGTTGGGCCAACTTAAAATATAACGTTGGGCCAACGTATAAAATAAAACGTTGAATCAACGTAGAAAATATAACCATTTTCCGACTTTAAATAACCGTTTTGACAACATTGGTTTTTAGTTGTTGGCAACGTCGCATTTGTAACCATAATGATATAAAAACAATGTTGGCACCTGATGTTGGACCAACAAAACGCGCGACATTGTTCTAATGTTTTAACAACGCATGTGTGCTAGCTGGGATCTACCAAACGCATGAATGAGAAGCAAGTATGGTATAACTAAACAGTCCAAGCTGGTTAATTCAGTTTTTATATCCAACTATTGACTTCTGCCGTTTTTACCAACGTTTGAACTTGTGATAAGCTGACCCATCGCCTTTTTCCAAAAATACATCAACATAATGATTACATCAGTATCATTGGCAACCACTGTTACGAAATCTCCATAATTGCATTGATTCAAAGCTGCTTTAACTATCATTGTGTCAACATCATTATTTGCATGCATAACAGTGCAGCCATCAAACTTATTATTGATCAATTCAATTAACTTACTCTTGTTAGTTTGATTTTGAAAGAAAAGCGTTTTGGTTGACTCAAACCTTTATGTCTGACCTTACATCAATATCAGGACAACTAGCTAACTTCATTGACCGCCTATAATGATCATGATCTTTTGTTGATGGACTGTTATTATAACCGTCAAAAACAATTGTAGCAAAGTTGGCTAAAAATACACTATTTTTAATCATTTTTACCCCCTGAAAATAAATAACAGAATTAAATTTCATCCTTGAAGTTCAATTTTTTTTTGATTATGACAAATCAGAAAAAGATAAACAGATAATAGTCATTAATAACATTTTACAATCTATAAAAGGTCTAATTTAGGCTAAAAATCCGCCATGAAATTTTTTGTTACCCCTCCCCGCCTGATATTATTTTTCTAAAAAAAATAACATTTTTGCTAACTTATATTTATATTTGATAAATATAAACCTAAACGAGATCAATTTAGTATCTGACAAGTTAATATTTTTAGTTTTAACAGAGATGCTGTTTTAGGGTTTCCTAAGAAAATCATGTTTTTGAAATTTATTACATTAGGTACCTCACTTTGACATCAGATGGTAAAAAACGCTTAAGGGGTATGCAGGTGGAGTTTTGGATTTCAACAACTGAAGGGTAGTAGAGACTTTTTGGCTAAAAACTGCTTCTGCACTACTAAGTTTCCATTTGACCAATTTTAAGGTCTTTATTTACTAGACTATTACTTTCGTATGTTATTTGATCAAAGTATTTTTCACTTAGACTTACTTTTTTAGGAAAATATTATAATAGCTAACTGCCATCCATTTAAATTATTACGATTAAAAATACTAGATGTGTGAAAAAGAAATAAAGATGCTTATTTGTGTTCTAATTTAACTCCTTCACAATCAGTTTATCGTATCGTCCCCTCAGTATTAACTTGTTCTACCTAATATAATATATTGCATAAAACATTGTATTTTTTTTAAATTATTTTTTTTTTTGAATTTATTTTATATATTAGATAGAACATTTTATTTATTACATTCTTAGATAGAACAAGATAATACTGAGGGGACGATATGCTAATACTGCATATTTTTCGAAACTTCTTGCAATCTTTGTTTTCTCAATAAGATCGCGTTGCGCAGTGACTCAGGACAATCAAAAAACGGCAAAAATTAAATAAAAATTGACATAAATTGTAAATAAATAATGTTATATATTAAAATAATAATTTTTAAATCAAAGATTTCAAATTTGTTCATAATTTTTTTTTTAACACGCAGCTTCGACGCGTAAAATGCGCGCTTACGCGTGTTAAAGGTGACTATACGCGTACAAAATTTTTTTTTCTTAGTTTTTAGAATCTTCAAGACAAACACATAATTTTGATATATTACTCTACTTGATATTTTTATAAAAATGGTTTTTAAAGGATGTTGATACATAGAGAAAAGATACTGTATTTTTTTACATTAAATTTATTATTTACATTACAATTAATTTAAAAACTTCATCTGGTAACAGTTTTCCTTGATAGCTCTTATGTTTTCTAAAAGATATGCTTAATATTTTTGGATCTGATTTTACTAGAAGGTAGTGCATCTGATTCATCATTGTGTTTAACCTTGATATTTTTGCTGGGTGCTTAAGTCTAGAATTTCTTATCTGTTAATTTAAACTCTCTAGTGCATCTTCCGAATATACCCCGATTGGCAAAGGTAATTTATTTGATATAGAAGAACTATGCAGTAGCAGTTTATGTATAATAGGAGGCATAACATACCAGTTGAATTAACTCACTATACTTTAGCTGTTTCAGTGCAGTATAAACCTAATTCATTGATATTAATAGGATTAACACAAGATATGGTTATGAGAATATTATGCAATCTTTTAATTATATCAAAATCAACTTTAGTAATTTCAGAAAAAACTTCACTATTCTTAAATGCTCTTCTAGCAGTGTTGCCGTCATTCGTGTTTCCAGACCTAGTTTTAGGCATATCAACGTATAGGCTCAACTGTTCTCTGAAGAGTACCTGAATCTCTTTTTTTTTAAGTCTACAGATAGTTTTTCCTCAATTGTTTTTGGCTTATACTTTTTAATTTTAATTTTATAACTCAAATGAAGAATGAACTCCAAGTATTTTATCCAGCAATGCAAAGCTGAAATTCAGAGCTTCAAGGCCGAGTCATTGTCAGTTTTTGCTTTACATAAATCAATATTGTTCATTTCCTTGGGATTAGCATTGCACACATTGCAGGATTGAGTGAATTTTGTCTCTGTAAGTGCGCTAACTACTTTATTATCAAACATTGTAAGATCAATCCTATAGCTGATATTAAATGTCAAAACTTTTCCTGCAATATTAAAAACTTTGCAAAACGTCTTTAAGGTATTTACTTGATTTTTTAGATCTGATTCTTCTTCTCTGGATAAAATTGGGCTCTCTTTTTTATATTGTAGATGAAGAGGTCTACAAAAGTGATAGCTTGAAGGATTTTAATTTTTCCAAATTTCGCCATCTTCTACTTTGAGCAATAAAGGCACAAAAGCTGTACTGAAAAGATTTTCTTCATGCATAAGTTCTATACTTGCGTTGCTTGTATCGTATTTCTGTTTATAAATACTTTAGCTTGATGCTCCATCAAAACCAATCTTTCCATATAAAACTCCAAATATTTCATCACTTTGACCAAAATGCATATCAATAATTTTTGTTATTCTACTCACAGTGTGATTTAACATGCTTTGAAGAGTACACTTTGCAGAAATTTCAGAAAAATGTATATTCTGAGGATAGCATTTCAACTTTTCTACGAAAATATCGTGCAAGGTAGGATAAATAGGTACGTTGTGTACAAGAGCTAAGTTTCTGATCATTTGATATTGTTTATCGCTGAGATCAGTATTTATTTTTAATGCAAGAGCATCCTCTACACTCATGTTAATGGGAAAGGTTTTATCCAAAGTTTTATCAACTTTTTCTATCTCTAAAACATTAGATACAATGTTTTTTAAAACAGAGGCTTTTTTTTTTTCTCCAGCAGCATTTGCACTTTTTGCAGAAGCTAAAAATGGAGCTTCATGATGTTCAGTGGCTAGTTCTTTTCTTTTTTTTCTTTTGCTTCTCTCTCCAAGAACACTCCATTGTTTATGGGGCCTTCCAGAACCAAAATGGCTATTTTTATTGTTCATAAGATTTCTTTGAAGCCAACGATTTTCTTTTTGTATAAATGTAGTATAGTCTCGTCCACATTGTTTTAGTTTTTTCTTCACCTTTGAAGTAAATATAACTAAAGCAACCTTAACTTTATTCAAGTTTTCTTTGCAAATTTTTTCAGTATTTTTCATTTCATTAAGTAAATCCTTCCATAATTTTAATTTATCAACTCCTAGTTCACGTATATTTGGGATAAGATCTAATCTTTTCATTGTTATCGTTTTTAAGAATCATCAATATAATAAAACTAATATATTAGACACATTTTAAATTACATTACATATTTTTTTACTTTACACTGTTTCAAATTTTATCTTGTTATGACTTTTAACAATTTTCACATTGTTACATCCTGTTATAACACATATTACTTAGTTAACTTTATATTACATGTAATATAAAGTTAACTAAGTAATACGTGTTATTACAGGATGTAACAATTTGGTATTTCTTGAAACGGGAAATACCAAAGTTGTTCAATTAAGCTTTTTCAAACATGTTGTACTTATCGAATAATAAATAGTTCTTTAAAATTGTCAATAAATATTTTAACAAACTTTTAAATAGTATATAATGACAAAAGCACGTTTTTTAAAACTATATTTAATATTTATGGTTTAAAAACTTTATTAGAACAAGTTCAACAAGCAGGAAGTTTAACTTTAAGTTTCCCG